CTTACTAAGTTTTGCTACTTCTCAACTCCATATGTTCTAAGGTAGTAGATCCAATAACGTTGGATACACTACAATCAGAGTTGGTGATGACCTTGTGCATGCTAGAGAAGTATTTTTCACCATCATTCTTTGACATAATGATTCATCTAACGGTACATTTAGTCCATGAAGTTAGGCTTTACGGGCTAGTGTACTTGAGGTGGATATACCCTTTCGAAAGGTATATGAAGATTCTAAAAGGTTATGTTAAGAATTGAAATAGGCCGGAGGGTTGCATCGTGGAAAGTTACATAGCCGAAGAAGCTGTGGAATTTTGCTCGGAGTACTTGTCTAATGTGGAAGCAATTGGTTTAACAAAGAAGGTAAACATAGAGCCACAAGATAAATCTACAGGTATTCCCTCCTCAGTTCCTCGCGAAGCATGAGAACAAGCTTGTCTCTACGTGCTACATAATGCTTGTGAGGTAGAACCATACATAGAGGTCCACAAAAAATAAATAAATGCGGCAAACCCAAAAAGAGGAAGAAATGAGAAGTGGTTGCAAGATGAACATAACTGGACATTTACAGAGTGGATAATGATACACATTTACTCCAAGGCTTGTGAGTAAGGAAATGAAGGTGTGTCGGAAGACTTGTTTAAGCTAGCTGGAGGACCCTCATCGACAGTAATGAAATACACGTCATACTCAATAAATGACTATACCTTTTACACTCGGGAGAGAGATGATAGCACTCGGTTCAAAATAGTAGTGTTAGTCTCCGTGTCGATGCTATGCATATTTTGTCTATAAAAGACAAGAATCTCATATATAGAACAATGACCTACTACGGTCTTGTGGAGGACATATGGGAACTTGACTATTACGGATTGCGAGTGGCACTTTTTATGTGTAAGTGGGCCGACAATAAATATGTGAAGGTTGATAGTGACGACATTACAATGATGGACTTTCGAAGAATGTGCTACAAGAATGATCCTTTCATTTTGGCAACACAAGCAAAAGAAGTTTTCTATACAACCAATCCCAATGATTTAGAGTTTTCCTTAGTTGTTTCCATGAAGCCAATAGCTATTGATGGAGAAGGGGATGATGATGATTGCAACCGTCATCTAATCTTTTAACGACGGTTATTAACAGTCGTTAAATATCAAATTTCTACTAGTGCATATTAATACGTACTTGAATGACCTTATAATATCCGACTATAAATCAATTTCTTTAGTAAGTTCTAATAAAACACACAAGACTCAAGAAGATAAAACGTGCACCAAGTTTTAGTGATAGATTACTATAGAGCACAAAAATAGCCCCTTTTAACAATACCTATAGTTGATGGAGAACTTAAATCGATGTAGACCGAGAGTCTTATAATATCCACAACACTGCAAAAAAAAAAAAAAAACAAATAAAAACACTCTAGAGGATTGGTCACACAACTAAAACCTGAGAAAGAGCATATCACCTATGTTATTACAAAATATTAACAAAAATTCAAAAAACAAAGCAAACACCAATATGGCGAAAGCAATGTTGCTTCTATTATACCCAAACAACTAACAAAAAATAGAGAGGAAAAAAAAAACAAGCTACATGGTTAAAATACCATCATTGATAAGCCGACAAATGTGATAAAAAAGGCCAGCTTAAAGAGTGTTGCAACGAGCTAGAAACACCATAGAAAGCATCTCTACATCGGCGGGTGAGAACCACACACTGCCGCCACCGAACACTAAACCAGGCACGTACTCCACCAAGCATTACGCAGAACAATGGGCACAAAAACCTCCAAAACATAGATCCATCGGAGCCTCCAGACCAACGAACACAACTGCGATAACACCTTTGGCGCTCAACAACCTTCCATGCACGTCTTCCATCTCCATCACTGTTGAGATAAAGGGGTCGAAACTACAATGTTGCAGACGAAAAGTCTTGTAAACTTTGTGATGTTGGAAAACCAGTTTCGGATTATCGTTTTACATTGTGGAATACGTTATTGAAAAAATTGGGTGTTAAAAAAAGAACAAAATGGGGATAATAATTGATTAGTAGTGTTAGTTATTCTATATTTTCACGCCAAACTCAGGTGCATGTTTTGTGTGTTATTAGTAAAATACACTTTTCGTTCAACACCGCGTGCATATTATATTCCCTTTTTTAACACCCAAACTAACGAAACAAACTAAGAGATTGGGATAAGTTTTGAAATTTTTAAAAATCAGAGACTAAATTAAGATTAATAACAACTTTTCTAGACTATTTGTGAGATTATTCGGGAAACAATAATGTAATGTGTTACAAACTCGAATCAACGAAGTGAACGGGCCCCATGTTCTTTCTCACAAATTGAGTTGAAATTTTGAGTTATAAAGTGAAATTTATGTAAGAGAAAACACTATAATAAAAAAGTTAAATTTGAATTTTTATGAGAGAAAATAATGTATCAAAAAAGTTTGAATTACGATTCAAGTTATAAAAAGAACTTATATACACGTAAAAAATAAAAATAAAAAACTCGTCAAAATCTTCAAAAGAAATAGAGAATTAATAATATTAAAGTAATCAATTAAAATAAAATAGTGGGGGTAAAAAATTGAAAATGGTCAATAATTAATAATCTTAAAAAATAATTCTGAAATAGTAAAGGGATTATGAGAGTGACTCCATAATTTATTTATAATTGTTTGGAAAATGTATGGAGCTTTTCACAGTAGGAAATACTTGTTGATAGTGAAGGTTTCTGAATATGTTTAAAATTACATTAAAATAAAAAAGAAATAACACCTAAAACACTTTTTGTGCTTTATAAAATACCATTTTTATTCCTCTTATTATATAAAAACCCAAACATCCCTTGTGTTTATAAAATTAGATCCAAAATGCCCCTGCAACAACTAATTTTTTTTTTTAAATATCAATATTACCATTCTCTATTTTTATTAAATACTATTTAATACATTATTAAATCAAAATGTTAAATAAAGTCAATTTTTTAAAAAATGAAAAACTCTCAAAATAATTGAAAATTTTCTATTAGAATATTTATTAGAATATTTTTAAGTTTTTTTGTTTAACTCTCTAGTCAAATCATATCTAGAATAACATTTAATATAGATTGGTAAGGGTAATTATGTAAATTTATAAAATTTAATAACTTTAAGGAGTGTTTTGGTATGTTTATATGAACACAGAGGATATTTTAATCTCACTAATGGTCCTTGAGATTTAGTTTTAATCTCACTTTAATCCTTAACTTTTCAAATATCACACAATTAGTCCATAATTTATGTTAGTTTAGTGTTAAATATTTGACGAAATCTATAGAAATTATAGACTAAAATTGAAAAAATATAAATTTTAAAAACTAAAACAATAAAAAAAATCAAAAGTTAATTTTCACAGATACACCCAAAATTTTAGACTTTAATTTACACAGATTCTATCAAATTTTAACGCTTAGTTAATGGAATGACCGAAATTGAAATAAAATAAAACTTCAAAAACTATCCGTGTGTCGTTTAAAAAGTCAAAGACTACAGTAAAATTAAGTGTAAATCTCAGAGACTATTTATAAAATTAATCCTAATAAAATACGTAAATATAATATTTTAACAAAACACGAGTGTTTTTGGTACAAATTAATAAACCTTTAGGCCCGTTCATTTCACCGATTCGAGTTTAGAATTTGAGTTTTGTTACAGTAAAAAGCTCTCAGAAACAGTCACATTTAACTTTTTTGTTACAGTAAAAAGCTCACATAAAGTCACATCTCAATTCGAATTAAAAACTAAAATCTCCAATCAACGAACTAAACGTGCCCTTAAATAAAAAGTCCTACCGGTATGTTCTTTTTCCATTACCCTACTCTATAATTCTCTAAAGTTTCTCTCTCTCTCACTCTTTTCTCACGTACAAGTCGATATATCTGTCCAACAAAGGAAAGAAATAAACCTGTTTAATTTGTTAATTTGAGTTTTTAATTTAAGTTAAAATATAATTTTATGTGAATATTTTTTACTGTAATCAAAAATTAAATATAATTATTTTTAAAATTTTTTTATTATAATAAAATTTAACTAATAAATATCCCCATCTTTAAGCACTCAAAGGAGCGGTCTCTTTCAACTCTTACAAAAAAGCAAAAGATGACCAGTGTGCAACAATTATAGAGTAAAATAAAGTGAAAATTTTCAAAACAAGAAAATTAACGTTTATAATAAATTTGGGTTATTGACGATATATAAATATATTCTTTTTAAAGTGAAAATGAAATTGATTTGGGTTTTTGTTTGTTTTTGGGTTAACCTCTTCCCCAATAGATGATGAGATAATGATGTGCCCAACCTCATATCCACTGCTGGACACCAAACCGAAGAGAGAGAGAGAGAGAGAGAGAGAGAGGAGAGAGGAGAGAGAGAGGAGAGTAGAGTGTCTGTTTTTGTTGTTGGGTTTCTTTTTCATTTTCTTTTTTCATTTTTATTTTTTTAAAAGAAAGAAAAGACACCTTCTTTTCTTTTATCATTTTATCATTTTTTTTCTAACCCTGATCATTGATTCCAGTTGGAAATCTAGAGAACCCAACTGGGTCTATCTAAGCAAGAACAATACTGGGGTCTAATGCAAAGTTTTTTTCTTGGTGTATTTGGTTTCCCACGAAAATGTTTCTCCTCTGAAGCTTACTTTTTGATTGTACAGAAGCTGTGAGAGTAGTAATAGCCAGATATAGCAAAAGGGTCATTTTTTTCCTCTTCAATAAATGATTCTCTGAGAGGATTCCAAAGATAATTTAAAGGTTCTGTTCAGGTTCGTCTTTTGGCTTGATTGTTAAGCCCTTTGTGTTCTTTAGGAAAGTTAGGTTCTTTGATGAGCAACTTGGTGTTTCACAAGAAAAAAGTGAAACTTGTTGGGGCTAATAGGCCATTAAGCATTGGTTTTTGTGGAGTTGGAAGAGATTTTTTTAGTGATGTTTTTGGCAGTTTCACTTTCTTCTTGAATTTCTTAACTTTCTGGGCTTCTCTCTTGGTGGTCTAATTTTGATGAGTTGCTCTGCTGGGAAAGAAGCCTTCTTTAAGCTTTCTAGAATCTTTGTGAAGATACACAGGTGGGTTTTGGTTTTGGTTGTTAATATGTCTCTGAATTGCAAGTTTTCAAGCCTGAATGGAAGATTACCAGCCAATTTCAAGTTGAAGAAGGGGAAGGAGTTTTCTCTTCATGGGGCTAAATCTAATTGTGTGAGAAAATGGGCAAAAAAGCTGTTGTTTTTCTGGCTTTTTGGTGTTGCAATTGTGAGCATTGTTTGGTTCTTCTTCAGCTTCAATTATGGGACTTTGGAGGGTAAAGTAGAGATTCCGGGCTTTTGCCAAGAAAGTGCTCCAATCTTGAGGACTTATTTCAATGTTAGCAAGAATCAGCTTCATTCTTTGGCTTCTCTGTTCTCCAAATCAGATCAGGTGTTGTAATTTTTGTCCCTTTAAACTGGCTTGCAACTTTACAATCTGTGGACTCTTCTTGTCTCTCTTGTTTTAATGGTTACAGAGATTGTTGAAGAAATTTCTCTAGTTTCTGTTGATTATAATACCATTGTGAATGTTATGGCCTTATTACTTGGTCAAATTTCTATATTCTGTAATTAATATGCCTTGAAGAGTGTGGTAAAAAGTAATTGTAAGTAAAAGATGGAGGAAATACTTAAATCCTTTCTATATTAATCAATATCTTTAATTACCTACTCTCCAAATGAAGTTTCTACCTAATTTGCAGTTTCTTTTCCGAAATCATATAATTCATTGGCATCTTTCCAATGCCCAACTTTTTGTATCTGATAGAAAATCCATTGGAAAAGATGACAATTTCATTGGCTCTTTTCAATGCCAGATCCTTCACCTGTGATGTCATGGAAAAAAACCTATCAGGCTCAGTAAGTCTTAGGTTAATAATGCTTACAGTGAATTAATAGAGATGGCACAAAATGTTTTCTGGAACAAAAAGAAAAAAAAAGTTAAAACAAATCATGTATAATATTCCTGAAGAGTATTCAAATTAGTTTATTTGTTTTAAGAAGTACAATTAGTTGTCCTTGCATAACTTATTCTGACATTATACGAAAGTTTCTGTGTTTAAGCATAAAATGCGAAGAACGCCTTTGAACAACAGGAGACGAATGCAATCGAATTTCCCAATTAGAGTTGTAAATTGATTTTTCTTTCATAATGTTTTCTTTGAAATTTCAAGAGATATCATATTTTCAAACCATTTTGTGTGGACGTTTTCCACGACATTCAGCGGAATTAGTGTGAAGAAGAAAAAAAGTGTGCTCAGAAAAGATAGACCTCGGATCTACCTGTTATGATCTTCCACTGTCTCTCACTAGTGTATTTTTCATGCAGATAGTATCTCTGGAGTGTAGCAAAGAACCAACACCAAAGGCGATGTTGAGTGACGGCATTGCATGTTCTGTCAAGGTACTGTGCTCCGAAGAGTTGGAGTCACCAACACAACATAAATGGATTGTGGAAAACGTAAAATCGACAAACCAATGCCCTGTTCTTAGAGAAGAAAGCATCCCAAGGAAGCTGTATTTAGCCCTACTAAAGAATAGATCTGTATCACATGCTTTGCAATTCATAATTTCAGCTGCTTATCAGATTCGTGGAAAGGTAGTATAATGCTTGCAATAAAATGCAGTTATTTTTAGGATAGGATAATACAGAATTAATATTTCGGAGTTTGAAATTTTGAGTCCGTTTTCCATATAAATATACTGCATTACCAACTATTTAATATTGCTTTGCTGATTGGTTGCTAACAAAGGAACACTTTTCCCAAAGCAGTATTAGTTTCAATCATGTTTCTTTCACGTAGTTTCAATCATGTTTCTTTCACGTATCGTTGATGTTGAAGAATGCTTGTTTCAACCGTTGTATTGAACTTGACTTCAGAAGTAAATAAGTTAGCAACATTGGTAACATGATATTTAAGATATATTAATGTTAGTAGTGTTGCCAACTGTGGCAAATTTGAGTCTGGTTTGCGCACAACTGGGATGAATAGAAGCGTGTTGAAATACTTGTCCAGGTCAGATAACGTTGGAAAAGACGATTGCCCTTGAAAAGTACTGCTCAAAGTACACCGACTTAAAAGTGGATGATTAGAGTATTGATGAGACTTCAAGAAATTAATTTCCATTGTAGCTAGGATGTCCATTAAATGTATGTTCAATAATCATGTGGTAACTTGCATATCTGCGTCATTTATGTTTCCTCATCTATCATCCTTTGTTAAAAAATCTAAATAATTTGTGAAGAAAAGATTCTTGAGTTGCAATACTAAATTGCCAAATTTGTTGTGGCTTTCTTTAGAATCTCTTCCAGTCAGTGACGTTGGCAGACTGTGCAAGGGAGCGATGTCAACTTTTGTGTTATTTGATAAGGGGATATTGGTGGGTCATTGTTGGAGTTGTTTTGAGCTACAAAATATCTTCAAAATTATGGAGGAAAAAGCCGGAGCTGCTTCCTGAGCAATCAAATGGTTGGCAACATAAGCTAGATCTTGACCAGCACTCGTCCTGGCAGCAGAAGCTGGTTCATGAAAGGCCTCCGGCTCGGCAGCAGAAGCTGCTGCTAAAACAGCAACAGCAAGGCCATAGTCCTCCTAAGGGTGCTGGAAAATGGAGGAAAAAACTTCTAATAGTATTCATCTTGTCTGGAATTTCCCTGTCAATTTGGTTGTTTTGTCACTTCAACAGAAAACATATAGTGAGGAGAGAAGAAACACTTGCTAACATGTGTGATGAGCGAGCCCGCATGTTGCAGGATCAGTTTAATGTTAGTATGAACCACGTACATGCTTTAGCTATACTTGTATCTACCTTTCATCATGGAAAATATCCTTCTGCAATTGATCAGGTAACTTTCTCTCATCTATTAGGCTGATGTTTATGCAATCGGGTTTGGCTTTTCTCATTGTAACTTCAAACTACCCATTTGAATATAACCCCCTCTTGTCTCTGCCCTTGGGAGGCAAGGATTCCTTATAGGTTTATTGAACAAGGGAAAGGGAAGCTGTAACTGTAGTATTCCACATTGTGTTGTGTTCTTATAATGACGCTTCTCTTACATGTCTATGGTCTTCCTTTGTTCTGCAGAAAACATTTGGGGAATATACTGAGAGAACAGCTTTTGAAAGACCACTTACTAGTGGTGTTGCTTATGCTTTGAAAGTTCTCCACTCTGAGAGGGAACAGTTTGAGAAGCAACATGGATGGACAATAAAGAAAATGGAAACCGAGGACCAGACTCTAGTACAAGATTGCATTCCAGAGAATTTGGATCCTGCACCTGTTCAAGATGAATATGCACCTGTCATATTTTCTCAAGAAACTGTCTCCCACATTGTCTCCATTGACATGATGTCTGGAAAGGTGTGCCTTATTAACTTTCAGCTTCCTTTTGTTAACGAGTTCAAAATAGCAATATTGGCTACTATTTTGATCTCATTTTCTTGCGTACCTCTGGCAACAAATTCAGCAACACAGAGATGCTCTCTCTTTTTCTGCCTCTTATTACTAAACTGGACTAGTACTCGTTAAAAAGTCAGGAATGTATATTTTGAGTAAAACCCAAGACTACTGCGAGAGGTTTCTTTTTGTTTAAACCATTAAACCAAAGGAGCCAATAGTACATAGCAGATTTCATTTCCTAAATACTTGTCCTTCAAATTCTACCATCCATTGCATCCATGAGATTAGAGGCTTAATTGTTAAAACTGAAGATGTTTAGTTGATAAATTCTGTTACTTTATGCCTTCGGTTTTTCATTTTAGTGTGAATGTACGTATTCCATTGTTTCTGTTACTGTGGTAATTTGATCAGTCAGTCTTTCAAGGGAAAGGTAGGAACAAACTTGCCCATGCTTCATAATGTTCTTGCTAAGTGGATGGCCTTACTGGTCAGTTTAGAGACTGAGTAGCCCCTCAACTGTAGTCTACATGCCAGTTATCATTAGCTGTTGGAACAGTAATTTCTTTGAAAGGTTGTGTTGATGAATGGTCTTAATGAAAGCATGTTCAAGTTCCATCAGACATTCCTCGTGCTAAATTGCAGTTTCCATCATTATATAGGAAGACCGGGAGAACATTTTGCGAGCAAGGGCAACTGGAAAAGGAGTACTGACGTCTCCTTTTAAGCTATTGAAGTCGAATTACCTCGGTGTAGTACTCACTTTCGCAGTCTACAACACCGATCTGCCTCCAGAAGCAACTCCAGAACAACGTATTGAAGCTACTGTGGGGTACTGATACTATTTATGTCAAACTTGAGTTTCTAATTTCGTGTATACCTGTGGAGTTATATTGTATTTAATTGTTACGAGTACTTTGCTCCATATATCAGATGCTGAAAGTGATTCTTATTTTGCTAATAGGTACCTTGGTGCATCTTATGATGTCCCATCATTGGTTGAGAAGCTTCTGCACCAACTTGCCAGCAAGGAGACCATTGTTGTGAATGTTTACGATATAACTGATGCGTCGGCTCCTGTCAATATGTACGGTACGGACGTTATTGACACTGGTCTTTTGCACATTAGCCATCTAGACTTCGGGGATCCACTTCGCAAGCATGAAATGCATTGCAGGTTAGATATGACACGTTCCCAAGTCAACATATCTGGTAAAGAACATGGAATCGCCTCTTTTTTTTTCGCTTAAAATGTTTTCCTTCGGTTGCAGGTTCAAGCAGAAACCTCCTTTACCTTGGATGGCAATAAATGCATCATTTGGAGTATTTGTCATTACTTTACTAGTAGGCCATATCTTTCATGCAGCTATATGTCGAATAGCAAAAGTGGAGGCCGACTATCGTATGATGGTAGAACTCAAAGCTCGAGCTGAAGCTGCAGATGTGGCAAAATCTCAGGTGCATTTTTTTTTTTTATTGGGGCACAGTTGGGTAATTGATTTCTGTCATTAGCAATTATTGATTTCTGAAGTGAAATTTTTGCATAAGAATCATAGGATTTCACATGTGCAGCATGGAAAGTGCACACACACACACACACTTGAACCCCTCTAAAGATCCTGTTGCTGAATTACGTTATATTTTGCAGTTCCTAGCAACTGTATCCCATGAGATCAGAACACCGATGAATGGTGTTTTAGGTAATTTACATGTCATTACTACACAATTGCTATTAATTTCCAAATTTCTCAAGGTTGGGTAGTATGATACAAATTCCACCCATATTCCAGGTATGCTGCAAATGCTGATGGATACCGATCTCAATGCAACTCAGCAAGATTATGCTCAGACTGCTCATTCTAGTGGGAAAGATCTAATTTCGCTGATAAATGAGGTTCTTGACCAGGCTAAAATAGAATCAGGCAGGCTTGAACTTGAGGATGTGCCTTTTGATTTGCGTGCAGTACTTGATAATGTTCTATCGCTCTTCTCAGGAAAGTCTAATGAAAAAGGAATTGAGGTAAAAAAAAAAAAAAAACCAAAGTTTAGTTTCTAATTTACATTTCTCTTGTACGGCGGTGGTTAAAAGTAATTCTTACACAATTTATGGTTTGGGTGTGAGAAGTTGGCGGTTTATGTTTCAAATCGGGTGCCTGAAGTTGTCATTGGTGATCCTGGACGCTTTCGGCAGATAATCACTAATCTTGTTGGAAACTCGATTAAGGTCAGTTATAATTCCTGGCGCTTTAATCCGTGTTGTTTTTCCTTTTCGCTCTCATTCCCTCTGAATTGAGACAAAAAGTGTCTGTCTCAGCCACGTGATTCAGTCATGTTTATGAATTAGAGCCTTGGAACCCACTGATCCATCTCTTAGACTTATATGGTATGTGGGAATTTTATATTTGAAGATCTGTATGTAACCCTTGTTACTCTTATGATCTTATCACTAAAGAATTACTCAGGACTTGTGTTACTACGTCAGTAATACTACTTACGTAAAATAGCATAATTCAGGATTCTGAAGATGGACTATTGTCATGTTTCAAATAGGCTGCAAGAGGGTACTAGCAGTGTTTCATTGTTGATGGGCAGATTACTATGATTGCTAAAGTTGACAGCATGAAAGTTTTATAAAATATGATTTTGCGTTCTTGGGTCTTAGCTGGTAATCATGCAACGAGTTGTCCATTAATGTTGTTTTGAAGATCCATTTGTAGTCAGTATGTATTCTTTTATTGTAACCATTAAAAAATTGTTAATTGGGAGTTGCTGAAGGTATGGGTTCCTCAATGTCTTTGAATGTCCATTGTGTGGATTCTTGTTTGTAAAACTGTATGCAATACAGTTTTAGTTGTCATCTCAACAACATGCAACTGTTAAATAACTTTTGTGCAAAACTATTCATATAAATTGCAGTTTACCAATGACAAAGGACACATATTCGTTACGGTGCATCTGGCAGATGAAGTGAAATGCCCTGTGGATGATATCGATGAAGTGCTTAAACAAGGAATAGATTTAGTTGGAGATGATTCAGGCAAAAATTATAACACATTGAGTGGATATCCTGTGGTTCAGAGATGGAAAAGCTGGGAGCGTTTCAAAAACTTAACCGGCACGACAACAGATGAATCTGATAGGATCAAATTACTTGTCACGGTTGAGGATACAGGTGTAGGAATTCTGCAAGAGGCTCAAAGTCGCATTTTTACACCTTTTGTGCAGGCTGATAGTTCAACATCAAGAACATACGGTGGTACTGGAATAGGTCTGAGCATTAGTAAATGTTTGGTTGAACTCATGGGTGGTGAGATAGGATTTGTGAGTGAACAGGGTATTGGAAGTACCTTTTCATTTACTGGGTCTTTGAGAAAAGGAGAAACAAGTTCTCTAGACACGAAGTGGCAGCAGTGTGATCCTACTGTTTCGGAGTTCCAAGGGCTGAAAGCATTAGTTATTGATGAGAGAGTCATCCGAGCTGAAGTCACAAGATACCATCTCGAAAGATTGGGAATATCCGTTGATATAGCTACCAGCATGGAAACAGCATGCTCTTTTCTATGTAGTGATTCTTATCTATCTAGTGATTCCAACGGCAGGTACATTTTACTTTTGTTAGCGTACTCAAAAGTAAGGTCTAACAATTAAAAGCGTATCTTGAAAATTCATGGACTAGTTTAGCTTGTCTTGGCTAAAATAAAAATTATATCCTGCTTATCTCGCTGAAGTATTTGTAGTATCAGCCTGGTGGTTCCTAAGCTTAATAACATAGTGTTGACGTTGCACTGAGCTTTCCTTGTTGTGCCTCATACACTTGAATTTCTAGTGTGATAATTTCTATGAATGACGGCTCTTTTTCATTAAAAAAGGAAAAAAAATTGAACATCTCGTTACTATGTAATAATATATTTTTTGTTTTTTTGCTTCTACCAGCTTTTCTTCCATGAATTTGGGAATGGTTCTCATTGACAAAGATGTTTGGGATAAGGGAACTGGTCTTAAATTTCATCAATTGCTGCGACGGCGCAGACAAAACTACGCAGACACTCCCATAAACCCTCCAAAGATATTTCTATTGACCACCTCAATTAGTGCTAGTGAACACAATGTTATCAAATCTGCTGGTTTGGTAGATAATGTACTGGCAAAGCCTCTTAGATCAAGCATCGTAGTTGCCTGCTTGCAGGAAGCTCTTGGAAGTGGTAAGAAGAGGCTTGTAGGCCGAAAAAAGCCAGAGACTCTTGGGAATTTACTAAAAGGAAAGCGCATTTTGGTTGTGGATGACAACATAGTGAATAGAAGAGTGGCAGAAGGTGCTCTGAAGAAATACGAAGCGATTGTTACTTGTGTGGAGAGTGGAAAGGTAGCATTAGAGAAGCTTAAGCCACCCCACAACTTTGATGCTTGCTTCATGGATCTCCAAATGCCTGAAATGGATGGGTAATCTATCTTCCTTTCTTTTTGACTTTCTTTGTTCACTTTGTGAGGGGATCGAAAATAAGACGTTGGAAACAAAGAGCCTTAAAAATGATCACCCATCCAAACCAAACAGTATTTAGACTTGGGTTATTTGTTTTTATTCCTAAAAAGGTTCTCTTGTTTGTCTTTGTCATTTAGTTTTAGAGCTCCTTACGATGAGTATTCAGTTAAGAAGCAGAAAAATGCTTTCATGGGACAAGTTATGAATGAAGACGCCCCCTGGGATCTGTGACTATTTTATTTTTGTTTACTCAGATGGTTAAAGGCTTGTAGTTTCTATTATATTTTAATCTTGCTGGAAATGTTGCTACACAATCCCTGAATCTCTAAAGAAAATAAAGAAAGTGGACTATCAGTACTCTTTTGGTTCAACATCGTTAAACACTCGTACTGTATCACATTTTAATGCTCTGTGATGAATCACATAGGTTTGAGGCAACGGAGACAATACGACGCAATGAAGATGAGGTGAATAAGAAGATTGCATCTGGAGAAGTATCAATGGAGATGTTTGGGAATGGAGCTCATTGGCACACTCCCATATTGGCTATGACAGCCGACGTAATTCAGGCATCAAATGAACGGTGTATGAAGTGCGGAATGGATGATTATGTGTCGAAGCCATTTGAAGAAGAGCAGCTTTATTCAGCAGTAGCACGTTTCTTTGAGTCCGGTTGATGGAAGATTAGTGAGTGTTAACTAACAAGGGGGTTGATCTGCCACTATATTTGGGCTTGTGCAGTTGGAGGAGGGCCTAGTCCGTTCCGACCGCACATTCTTAACTTTCCCTACATGGTAACTGCTCTATGTTATTCTTTGCCTTGATTGATTCAGATCTTTCACTACGATGTGAATAGCGTGCATGTTATGATGTAACGGTCGTGTCTGCATCTGCATATCGCAACTCAAAAACTCATCCATCGTTAACGTTTGTTTTTCAGGATTGCAAGCTTTATCTTGACCAACAGATTCAAGTATGCACACATCATTGCAAAGATCTAAAAATGCTTGGCCAGTTGATTTTTCATCCGTGATTCGGTATAACGATCAGTGCTGAGGAAAGTTGAGAAATGCCTTCTTATGTATATAGCCCACAATTTTTTTGTTATTATATGTAAATGGTGCCCTCTGTCCATTTTTTTTTTTGTTTTTTTTGCCCTTTGGCATTCTCCATTGAAGATTGAGTAGATTTGCAGCAAATAGTATAATGCCAAAATTATCCATTTTTTGGACTCTGATAAAATAAACAATCTTTCATCCTCGTGGAAGCAGTACTAGAATGCAACTTTATAAACAAAATCCTTCTATAGGATGAAAGATTGGAATTTTTCTTTCCGTTAAGAGTTCATTGTGGCTGTTTTGACATTATATGATCCTATGCTGGAATATATTCATCCCGAGGGAGATTGACCAGAATACTAGAAGTATTAAGGATTTTTTGTAGGGTGTATAGGTCATTTGCCTTGTTGTATTCATGATCCTGATGTAACCCAATATATCATTGTACTATATAAACTGTAACATTGTTTACTACATAGTGAATACATGATTACTTGATGAGTTGATCTTGCTTCATCTATCACATATCAACCTTATATTTTTTAAAGTTTTATTACCATTTAGTGTAAATGTCATGTTATACACGACAATTTCTCTCCCTCTCACTCCGTAAATGAGTTATCAATAATTACGTTTCCATTAGTGATTTATTCATTAAATAAAAAAAATTTGATAATATGATGTGATAAGAAGTTAATCTTATTAATTGTTATGTATTTTTTGATCTACTACCCAATTTATTAGCATTGTCTGATTAAAACGTTTTTTTTTTTTTAAAAAAAAGCATTGTTTACATACCCATAATAAATATTAGGATCACCATTAAAATCACTCGTGTATATATAATGTGCATCGATAGTGTAAGATATGCAACCAAGACATCACATCCTTGGTGTGTATTTTGATGATCATGAAACTGAGGCAGCAAAGTAAAACAAATGGGGTTCAGCTCTCCGTTCCCTCTGATGGATAAATGCTTTTTCAGTTTTTTAATCTTTGTTCCAGAACTTTTTTGTCGTCAAAATATGGTAAATCTAACTGGAACCCATTAACCGTTAGAATCTGCATGTGACTCCACTTAGGATCTTAAACCATATACATATACATATATATAGATATATACATACATATGTATATATATGCAGCCGACTTTTTGTGGTCACAAGACTTGGTTGGATAGCCCAACCATCGATTTGCTAAACCCCTAATCTCTCTCTCTCTCTATAGATGTCAAACTATTTGCTAAGGATATTGCTTGCCCTGCTCTTCCTCTCAGTAGTTCCACAGAAATCAGGTAACTGAACATATTCATACAGCTTCTGAAATCTCCATCATATTTGGAAAATGTGGAACTTGTAATTCTTAGAATATATACTTGCCCGTGTCGTTTGTTCAAAAAAGACAATGAGCAAGTTATAACATCATATCATACAAACAAATGCCATATTGCTACTCTTCCAGTACTACTAACTTCTCCAATCCTTTAAGCAAAGTTCTTTTTGATAAAAAAACTTGGACCAAGGCAACTCTTTTACAAGGCTAACAAAGTGGTTGGTTGGTTTGTGTGGTAGTCGGATTCTACAATTAAATTTGTTTAGAGGATCGTAGTGTTGATTTTAACCCTAACAGTTTGATTGTGATCCTTTATTAGATGGGGAGTTTGATGAGCAATGGTGCATAGCAGATGAGCAGACTCCAGATGATGAGTTGCAAGTAGCCTTGGATTGGGCATGTGGGAAAGGAGGGGCCGATTGTAGTCAAATTCAGGTCAATAAACCTTGCTATTTTCCCAACACTGTTAGAGCCCATGCTTCTTATGCTTTCAACAGTTACTTTCAGAGATTCAAACACAAAGATGGTTCTTGCTACTTCAAGGGTGCTGCCCTTATCACAGAACTAGACCCCAGTAAGCGTTTTAAACTACTATTTTAGCCGTGATATTTTCATCAGATTCTATTTAATTTGCATATAATTTCTAATCAGTCTAATTGACATGTTAATGAGTAAATTAGACATAATTTGACGTTCAAAAACACGCAGTGTTAATGAGTATCATCTCTGTATAATCTCACTTAATTTAAGACTTTTTTTTTTTTTTTTTTTTGCATTGCCTGTTTTTGGTTCATGTGATATGGGGTCCACATGGATGTTGTAAATAATTGGACCCATGTGAATGTGAGAATTGAGATTGGGCAATGCGTGGCGTTGATGGAGTTGCCTTTTTTACAATGACAGAGAAAAGAGAGATTACTTAGGAATCAAATCAGGGCCATAATTTTCAGTTGGAATCTGATACTGTTACTTTGTTACGCACTAATAATGCCTACAAATTATCTTACGTCAATTAAAAAGCATTGTGGCAGCCTAGTTGTAAAGATGTTAAAAACAAGTTGAAAACTCGAGCTTAGTGCAGTGATTTTAGGCGGAACAAGGGTTAGGTTGCGACTCAAATGACGCATGTGGTCTCTTGACTTGAGTACCATTGGGAATGTGGATGCAATGATTAAAGTCTCGTTTATTTCACGATTTGAGTTTTTAATTTTAAAGTTTTACAGTAAAAAATTCTGAAAAAATGTCACGTCTAACTTTTTTTTAATGCAGTTAAAAGCTCTCAGAAAATATCACAACTCAACTCGAATTAAAAACTCAAATTCACGAAGCGAACTAGGCCCGTTTAGTTCGCTGATTCGAGTTTTTAATTCGAATTTAGATGTGATTTTATGTGAGAGTTTTTTACTGTAGTAAAAAAGTTAGATGTGATTGTTTGTGAGAGCTTTTTACTGTAACAAAACTCGAATTCTAAACTCGAATCAACGAAATAAACGGGACCTTAAGACTAAAAAAAATGTATCACATCTCAACAGAATTGAGTTAGGATGTGAGATAGACTGTACGCTCCATCTGATGGGACCGTCATCTATTTCACATCTCAATCTAACCTAAGTCGGGATTCTTGGTTGTTTATTACATGCAAGTTTTTATATCCAAATGTTTAAGCTGTTTTTTTTAATTATTTTGTACAATGCTTGCAGGTTATAAGTCTTGCCGCTATGAGTTTCTTCCCTGATTCCGCGAAAATTTTGATTCAGAGCACCCAAAGTATGATCTGAATAAGAACTATATTTTTTTTTGAATATTGGTCCTCATTGACTGTTGTTAACTCAGTGAGAAAATTATCATTATCTTTTACCGAATTCTTCTTTTTGGCCATGTTTTCTTTTCTGTTGATTTTCCTTTTCATTAAAAATTAAGGAAGAGCGAGGATAAGAGAAGTATGGACATGTCTTGTATAGCACCGAGGCAGAAAGTAGTGCCCAGGGGTCTCATAGTCAAAATGAACTTCTTTCTATATTTTTTGTCGCTCTCCGATTCTGCCTATTTGCATAGTAAAACTTGAGGTCTCGTTCATTTCGCTGATTCGAGTTTTGCTACAGTATAAAGCTCTCACAAATAATCACATCTAACTTTTTAACTACAATAAAAAGCTTTTATATAAAATCACATCTCAACTCGAATTCAAAACTCGAATCAGCGAATTAAACGGGCCCTGATTCATCTGAACTCCAATTTTTTCAATTCAGCCAAAAAAAAAAAAAAAAAAACACTCCAATTTATTTAAACATCACATGACTTTACAGCTGCACAACCTCAAAATTGCATAACTTTAACTCTACATCTAAACTATGACAACTATAACAATGATAACAATTTATTTACCTAAAAAAAACAAATGATAACAATTTGGCCAAAGGCCTGATGATTTCGGCTTTTAACAATTTGTTGATTTTCTGTTTCTACCATCAGTGGCGAAGTTAGTCATTTTACTTCAGCGGGACAGGTGCACACTTTTTTTTTTTTTTTTGAGTAAATAATATGAAAGATATGTAAAAAATTGTATTGTAATATTTTCAAGAACTATTAGATTCATTTTGAGATTTTTACGCTATGAAAAGATATCCTATTTAGGGTTTTGTTGAGAAACGTTAGCTATTTTTTTTTAAAATAAAAAATTGTTTGTACTGCCTATTGTACCTTCTTCAAATTATACTAATTTAATTGGCATTTACTTTATCAAGACTATAAATACGAGTAATGTCATCGCTTACTTAAAGTAAAGTACGGTACCGGTATTCAAAATTTTTACTTATCTATTGTATTGTTCAATATGTTTACGGACAATATTAATAATTTTATAAACTTGAATGGTTACCATGAATATTTCTTAATTCTTTTTTTTAAAAAAATAATGCCTATAAAAAACAAAAATGAGATAAATATCAGAGTGCACAATATATTATTTTTGTTTGCAGAGACCTTTGAATGGGGTATATGTCTTTTGTTTAGAAAACCAAAATTCACGTTTAACAATCTTATTTTTGGTCCATTGGACGCACTCTTTAAATCCATCTTTACATATTTTTCATATAAAAATCCAATTAATTAATTTGACATCCTCAATAATTCATATTGATACAGAGAACTTTTTTGTTTTCTTTTAGACTCACGAGTCAAGTATTGATTTAAAAGTATATATTGAGCAATTTACAAGGACAGATCTATGACCAAAGTCAAATTTAACGTATTTTGATTCGGACTTTATTCCACTAATCATGATAAAATTAAACATTAACGTCTGGTTTATTTTACAAATTCGAGTTGAGATGTGACATTTTTTAAAAGTTTTTAACTGTAGTAGAAAAAATTAGATGTGACATTTTTTAAAAGCTTTTAGCTATAAAAACTTAGAATTAAAAACTTGAATAAGTGAAATGAACGAGACTTAAGTGACCAATATTATGCGAAAGTGATTATGTTGATTTCAGTTTATTTAAGGTGAAAACACATGAGATGGTTTTTGATAGACGCCAAATGACCGTTTACGGTACGACTGAGAACGAGTTCAAAATTATAAGTGCTGACATAAGAACCATGACATGTTCAATCGTGCTTAAAGCAATCTTTCTTTGAAACTCTAAAAGGCTAAAAAAATAAAAAGAAAGGTAGAGACACATAAAAATGATATGATCCTTCAAATCTTCAAATCTTTAAATAATATGTAGAATTAATGAAAATTAAGCCACATTTTAATAGAATGAGCTATTTATATTATTAACTGTATACCCATCTATAATTTCATATAGGGGTATCACTTGTGTGATTATATGGTCCTGGCCCTCGGAAAAGGATTGGGCTAAGAGCCTTCGAAGAAAGGCTGAAATGGGTAGGGTATAAAGAGTATGGTTCTTAGGTGATCGACATGATTAGATTGTGTCTTTTCCAACAGTTGTACAATTAGGCATCGTTCACTTTGCGGATTTGAGTTTTCAATTCGAATTGAGATATGACATTTTCTGAGAGTTTTTTACTGTAGTAAAAAAAATTAGATATGACATTTTCTGAAAATTTTTTACTGTAAAAATCTAAAACTGAAAAATCGAATCGATGAAATGAACCAGACCTTAAGGATTGGTTGCGCCTATTCTACATCATATTTGTCGTGTTTTGACAAATACATTAGACCAAAGTGGAAGCTATTGTAAATCAAGGCACAAGGTTTGGAGTATATCCACTACAGTTTGACAAACCTGGAATTGTAAGTTAGAGGATTTTTTTTTTTTTTTTGGGCACGTATGTCATATCATCTTCAATATAAGAAGAGAGAATGAATTGCTTATTTTTGTACTTCAACCAAGCAATTCAATTAATGGTCCACATCACCTAATTAATTTTTTATTTTTATTTTTAAATGCAATAGTCAAGATTTGTACACATTGTTTATGCATTCTCTCACACCCCGTCTCACACCTCACACTTCATACTTGTTTGCTTATTTCATTTTATTTTTTTAATTAACCTTTAGATTTTTGAAGTTTAATACTATTATTTGACTTGTTATAGTAATGCACTAATATATGAGTAACACATTATGTTAATATATTGAAAAATTACATTTGTTAATTATTTTTTTTTATTGATTGGTAATAATTTGTTGATACTAATTAATAGACTTTAATTAGTATTCAATTAGTAGAGTTACTATAATTTTACTCTCTATTTATTTTCTTTTATTGACCTTATTTGTTTAGATTTTTGAATTTTGATATTATTATTTGACTCGTTATACTAATGCACTAATATATAAATAAAACATATTATGCTAATATATTGAAAGTACATATGTTATTTATTTTTTATTGATTACTAAAGGCGGGTCCGAGTAGGAAAAAAATTCACTAAGAAGTAGGGCATACAATACAACAATGGATCAATTCATTCAACAAGATCCTTGTCCTCTTATTGGCATTCATATGAGACTAGTGCTACATAATCATAAAGTAAACACACATCACTTGTATTGTAGGTGCACACTCCACTTACTTTAGATGTTAAATTAGACTTTAAATTAGTATTCAATGAGTAGAGAACATTATTTTACTCTTTTTTTTTTCTTTTTTTTTCAATACAAAAAGTGAAGTTAAAAAGAGGCACGTCTCTCGTGCTAGTAATAAGAGATGGAGCCACTAACTTTTAATATACCACCTCAACATTATATGTACTATCTTGAGACAAAACATGTAGTCATCATAATTGTGCTATTCCATGCAACGTGTACTCTTTCCAAATATCCATGAAGTACAATTTGGCAAAAAAAAAAAAAAAAAAAAAAAAAAAAAAAAAAAAATTTTTGAAAAAAAAAAAAAAAAAAAAAAAAAAAAAAAAAAGTATTTCTTTACTAAATGCCAATTTGTTGTGGGAAATCAAACCAATGTTATTGAGCATGCAAAATATATATTATTATTGAGCCTGCGTATGAGAAAGTCTGTTTATGCCCCCACCAACCGCCAATAAACAAGGAGCTGAGGCCTCAGAGATTGGAAAGTAAGTTTCGAGTTCGACAAACAAGGGTCCTACATGTGACCCACAATAGAAAACAAATTAAGAAGAAATTTTGGTCATGGTCCTCTTGAACCCCTATCTTTGGGGATTTGCAGAGCCTGCATTGTATAACTTTGTGAAGATAAAAGACAAAACTCGGAAATGCAAAAGCAGAAAACTGATGAAGGCAATCTCCTAAAAGGCCCCAACATGGTCGGCAATCTGATAGGGAAATTTGGCTACAAAAGTCAAGCTTCATCATAACTCTTGTTTCCTTCTCATTTCTTTCACTTTCATAGAAAACTTGGTAAAATTTTTAGAGGCATGAGGTTGGACATCCAATTAGTACGTAGGTTATTTCTTTTGAGATTTTTACTGTAGGGATCATATATACTTTTAACACTCTAATTTGTATCATAGATATAAATTATGTCTGTCTGTCTGTATATTTTTTTTTTCTTTTAATGTGATTTTGATCAAATTATTTAACATTTAGAGGCATAAACTGCAGTAAGATAGCACGATATCATAGAAAGTTTCAATTTATTTTTCTCATTTTATTTTCATTATTAGTGCTAGTATTACATTTCCTTTAGTATTATTGTTTTTTTTTTTTTGGTTTATTTTTTTTTCTAATTTTTCATTAGTGCATTGTCTAATGTGTAACCATGCGTCTTTCATGGACGGCCCGATCATGGAAGTCCTTTTCTTAGGTTTTGTGGTACAAGATGGAATTAGTTCCCAGCTCGGGCATGCCTGTAATCATTCTAGCTAGTTTAAAACGTTTTTCTTTCCTTTTCTTTTATTTTTATTTTTATTTTTATTTTTATTTTTTCACTCTATATCTACAACTAGATACATGTCCATATATTATATGAAAATTTTCCAAATAAATATGTTTAGTAAAGAATATGAGAGCGTTTGGTATGTAATAATCAGTAGAAATTATATTCATGGGAAAGTGATGGGAGGTAATATGATTCTAAAGAATAATATATTACTTTGTTTGGTTTCATATATGAATCTTTCTCAAATTCTCATAAATATTACATTACTGTGTTTAGTTGTGCATGAAAATGTTGTGAATTAAAAAAACATATTTTTTTAAATGAATTACAATTAGCACTAATATTTTAAAAAGTATAAAATATTTTTTTAAATATTTAGCTCATAACATTAGCACTGATATTTTAAAAAGTATAAAATAAAATACAACAAGTAGTCCATAAAATTATCAAATAATAGGGGTCTCAAAATGTTAACTAAAATCCTATATACTCAAAAGTTCTTATAAAAGTTCTAAATATGAGAACATATACTCATAAGGTTCTAAACCTGAAATAAAAGTTGTAAATCTAGGACCAGGTATAAAAGTTCCAAAGATGCCATCAAAAGATCTAAATATTGGACCATATACTCAAGGTTGTAATATAGCACCAAAAGCTTCAACCTTACTCATTCCAAAAGAGATAGAAGAAAATCTAATTTAAATTCATCATCCAATGTGAAGAAATAGTTGGTGTAGTTATTTTTATTTTTATTTTTTCACTCTATATCTACAACTAGATACATGTCCATATATTATATGAAAATTTTCCAAATAAATATGTTTAGTAAAGAATATGAGAGCGTTTGGTATGTAATAATCAGTAGAAATTATATTCATGGGAAAGTGATGGGAGGTAATATGATTCTAAAGAATAATATATTACTTTGTTTGGTTTCATATATGAATCTTTCTCAAATTCTCATAAATATTACATTACTGTGTTTAGTTGTGCATGAAAATGTTGTGAATTAAAAAAACATATTTTTTTAAATGAATTACAATTAGCACTAATATTTTAAAAAGTATAAAATATTTTTTTAAATATTTAGCTCATAACATTAGCACTGATATTTTAAAAAGTATAAAATAAAATACAACAAGTAGTCCATAAAATTATCAAATAATAGGGGTCTCAAAATGTTAACTAAAATCCTATATACTCAAAAGTTCTTATAAAAGTTCTAAATATGAGAACATATACTCATAAGGTTCTAAACCTGAAATAAAAGTTGTAAATCTAGGACCAGGTATAAAAGTTCCAAAGATGCCATCAAAAGATCTAAATATTGGACCATATACTCAAGGTTGTAATATAGCACCAAAAGCTTCAACCTTACTCATTCCAAAAGAGATAGAAGAAAATCTAATTTAAATTCATCATCCAATGTGAAGAAATAGTTGGTGTAGTCATGGTTTTGGACAAGAAGTTTTCCGACTCATACTCGTTGTGCATTTGTTAGTCCTTCTACCTTCTTCACTTCATCAAACACCTGCATCCTCCTTGCAGCACTATCAGCCTCGTATTGAAAACAATTAGCAAGCCCACCAATATTCTCACCAGCCATAGCATACATATCGGAAAACTTCTGTACTGTCTCAGTTAAAGTATCAACCAATACATCTCCACATTGAGATCTCTTTCTCTTTTTCCTTCTTGATACTAATGGTGTTGAAGTTGTTTGTATGCTAGGACCACCAATACTTGCAGTATCCATGTGCTCATCAAACATAAGCAAGATATCATAATCAAGATCATTTTCTGTTTCTTTATCAATGTCATTAACCATATCAGTCAATCCCATTGCACCCTGTCCATTAGCACGATCCTTTCCAAACACAAGTCCTAACTCATCATAATAAGGAAACGGCTTGTTTCTTAAGCCTTTCGCAGTTGGGTGACTCTGTAATAGATATGGAATGTAAATTAAATATTAAAAGAGCCTAATATACTGAAACTTGAAATTTATAACCGGTTAAAAAAATACTAATCTTAACCCACTCATCAAACACATCTTTCTCAACCACAACGCATTTATCCTTATCATTCCAACCAAAGCCACTACCGGCAGGGCCCAACATTTTAAAAATGGTGAAAGATCAAAAAAATTAACACAAATCGTGAAAGAAAAATTTTTCACAAAAAAAGGAGAAAAAAGGAATCATACTCTGGTGGTAGCAGCAGAGGAAAGTCCGGCAACGGCATGGTGGATCGGAAGGCAGCGGCGGGGTCCTCGACGGAAAGGCGGGGCTAAGCGGCGGCGTCCTCGACGGAAGAGCTGTGCTGGGTTTGGACGAGAGAGAGAGATGGGTGAGATAGGTCTAGTAAGAGATAGGTGAGAAAAATATTAGGGCAGATCTATAATTTTTTCCCGTAAATATTACTTTTTTAGGAAAATAAATAACACCCTATTAAGTGAGTTTAAGATTATAATAAAATGTGATAACGTAAAACCCTTAAACTTCACTTTCTTAGATTTTTAAAAAATTTAATAATTATATCAAACATACAAATCTGAAATATTCCTATTCTCATTTTTAAGATTATCTCGTGCAAAACGCCCTGTATGTTAACTTATAGCTGTTAATCTGCTTTGACTTGTGTGTTTACTGACGTTATATAGCTTCATTATCAATCGTACGTTATATAGCTACATTATTAATCATACGTCATGTCAGAATGTCCACATGGCCGTGCTCCCCCCTTATATAAAATTAGATTATTTTTGTAAATGTCTCCGAATTATGTTTTCTGTTTTAAAATACTTTTTAATTGTTCTAAACAATTTAAAGCATCTCTTGTGAATGTTTAATTCACGAATTTAAATTATGATTTAAAATTATTTTTAATTTATATATATTTTTTGTGAACAAAATATTATAATAAATCACGAATTATGATTTAAATTATGTCACGAATCTTTATACCAAACATAATATACAAAAAAGATTCAAATTACGTCTAATTCTGCCTATAAAGTTAACGGATTTACTGATATAACATCCATTTTATAACTTTAAACTTAATTAAGCTGAAAAAAAGATTAGTTATTAAAAAATGATTAAAAAACCAAAATCCCAAAATTAAAATAAGAAATTATTTTGCAAAACTCAACAAAACAAACTAAGACTTTGTTTAGTTCATTGATTTATATTTTTAATTTAAGTTGATATGTAATTTTATTTAAGAATTTTTTACTGTAATAAAAAAATTAATGTAGACCATGTTCATTTCGCTGATTTGAGTTTAGAATTCGAGTTTTACTACAGTAAAAAGCTCTCAGAAACAGTCATATTTAATTTTTTTGCTACAGTAAAAAGCTCTCACACAACATCACATATCAACTCAAATTAAAAATTTAAATTAACGAACTGAACGGATCCGTAATTTTTTGTGAAAATTTTTAACTGTAATAAAATTAAAATTAAAAATTTAAATCGATAAAATGTATAGCCTAAAAAAAACAACAAACAATAACAAAACAAAAAAATTCCCTTCCCCAGCCTGGAGAACTTTACTCGAGATAAGAAAAAAAAAAAAAAAAAAAAAAAAAAAAAAAAAAAAACCGCAGAAAACAACCAACCTCGCTGCAACAACAAAATCAGTCTTCTGATTATCAAAACCACCTCTTCTTTTTCCCCAAAGCTCAAAGCCGCAAAATACAACAGCTTATCGGCCTCCGATTCGGAAGTTTTTTGGTGCAAAATGAATCGGCAATTGGGTTTGAAATCTGCATTAAAATACAGGTTGCGATAGTGAAGATTAGGTGTTCGTAGAAATGCACAAGAGTTAGTTTCTGCTATTTCTATGTGTTTTCTATTCCATCGCACAGAAATTTCTATATATATATATATATATATATGCATCTTGCTTGGTAAGAAGGTAAGCAAAATAGAACTATAAGCAAAAGTTTTTTTTTTTTTTTTGAGAAAGATTTAGACGGGGTTGAGCTTCAGGCCAAGGTTTGGATTCTCCATCGCTAAGAAGATTTGTGTAGAAGGGGGTGGGTTTGGAAACTTACCCAGATGCATTTTGTTTCCTTTTTTAAAAGAAAAATTCATTTGTTTTTTATTTACTGATTTTTCATCTTAATTGAGTTTAAAATTATAATGTGAATGTCACGTCACCAAATTTGTTACTTTAATTTACGGAGTTGGACAGAAAAAACATCTTGAGTGTTTTTTTACACTCAGAAAGTGTTTTGAACCATTTTAAATAATTAAAGAGTATTTTAAAATATAGTACATAATTACATTAATAAAAATAATTTTATAAAATTTTGCAGGTCAAGATCTGAACGACCACGTAAGCGATTAGGAGAAGAAGAAATGTTCTTGAAGAAAAAAAAATCACATCAATAACCATTAATCACGACTGGTTAATTAGAATTCAGGGTTTTTTTTTTCTTTTCCCTTTTTTCTAAGGGAAAGAAATTTAATTAAAAGTAAGACAAATTTCCAGGGCAACAAAACAACATCCATCGGCTCAGGTTTTATCTTGGCATAAACTAAATAAAGTTTTCGTTTATTTTACCGATTTGACTTTATAATTTGAGTTTTGCTATAGTAAAAAGCTTTCAGAAACAGTTATATTTAACTTTTTTACTACAGTAAAAAATTCTCACATAAAATCGCATCTTAACTCAAATTAAAAACTCAAATCAACGAACTAAACGGACCTAAAATCTAAAAAAGAATCAAAATAGAAAAATACTTAAAACCACCGGTCAAGTTAAGAACCACAACTTATAAAAGATGTGCTCTGTTCTGCCTATAAATCCCATGATCATTATTTTGTATATGGGGGTTCAGCAATGGTGGCCTATAGTATTGTTGGTCAAACCTAAGCAAGAAGAAGACAAGGCCCACTTGGTCAAATTGTGTGCAACTTGTCATGACCTATATATTATTGTAGTGGCAAGACCGGAAAAGTTGGAATTTGAGCACGTGCATACAACATTTCTCTTCAATAATATCTCAAAGTTACTTTATTTTACATGTAACTCAATCGAGATACGTTTAGTATAATATCAAAGTCACTTTATTTTACATGTAACTCAATCGAGATACGTTTAGCATAACTAATAATCATTTTAATTAAATGTATTTAGTAAATTACCCAATATCTGACTTGTGAGTGTTTATATATATACCTCTAGAGCAACTTATTATTATTTTTTAATTATTATTAACTAACTGCATATTTTTCATAGCCATCCAAATGGAAAAAAAAAAAAAAAAGAATGAAAGAAAAAAGACTGGGCATATATGTTTTATGCATCCATTTTTAGTTCCATTGATTCTAAAAATGTGGGCATCGTATTTCCAACGTTCTACTGAATTTTGGCCTCATTATTGTAGTTCTGACAATTGCGTATTGTTTTATTAATTGTTAATTATTGCTAGGAATTTTATTCCTATGTGTATTTTTATTGGCAATCTTGGGTCAAAATTATTTTAATCATTTGTCGATGATTTTAATTTGAACTGGTTTCGCAGATAAACTTGTGTTTAAATTTTGAATTATGTGTCTTTTCAATATTTGGGGTTTGAATTAAAGATATGCATGCTGATTTTGAGTGATAAAGTTTAGATTTTTAAATTTTAAATTAATCACTTTAAGTTTTGGGTTTATTTTGAATTTGATTTTTGTGGATTTAATCCTTGTGTGTAATTGAGTCTAAATTCATTTAATGATGAATCTGTTTGTTGAGTAAGTTTTCTGGCGGTTATCTGCAGGATTGTGCACATGTAATTCAGATCTAGTTTGAGTTCGAATTTAAATTAGCAGATCACTTTAGTGTCTTTTGAGTGTCTTAACACTGCAAGTCTAGGTATTATGTTTAGACGATAAGGCCAGAAAATAAACTATTTGTTCACATAATGCAAAGGTTCGAGGTCCTGTATTTTGAAGACAACTAAAATTTCAAAAAGATTTAAATTTGAAGATTTTGAGCAACCGAGATTTAAATTTAAATGGAGATCACGACCAAATCTCAACTTATATGAAGTGAAGAGATTTTAAACCTCATATATGAGAGTTTCATTATTTAAGGAGAACACTTTGTGATTGTCATGTACCGAGAACTAGTGCTTTCATTGAGAGATAATTAAAACCTTCTCATTAGAGCTTAAGTATGTGAGAAAAACTAGAGCTATTTCTTAGGCCTCAAACCCTATTGTCTGCGGACTTTTAGAGAATCCGGAATAGGTTTGAGGAGGAGCCGAAGGTAAATTGTTATGCTCAAAGTACGTCAGGTGGACCGAAGGTGAGCATTGAGCTTGGAATAGGTTAGGTGGGTTGAAAGTAAGTTGAAAACTTGAAGTAGGACGCGAAGTCTTAAAGCGAGTCAAGAAGAGTTAATGCGGGTTCTATATTAGTGTAAATTTTAGGCTTTTTTTTTGTAATTCCATCAAACTGTAACTGTAATTCGGTGATTAATTATGGAATCATCTTCTTATTTAGTGTGATTAGCATTCTAGTTTTTTCATTGAGGGGGGTGTTAGCCACGTTAAAAAATCATATCACAATATATACAGACAATTTACTGAAATTCATGAAGGAGTAGATATCTCGATCCCCCTCTTACATTGCCTCCCGTAGTCAAAGATTCTTTTCTTTCTTTCTTAGTTTTTGTTTTGTTTTTTGTTTTTGTTTTTGTTTTTGTTTTTTTTTTTTTTTAAATGTTGTCGCTAGTCAAGATTCATGAGCTAAAGAAAATTAAGAATTTACCACATATATATAGGAAATAAACTAAATAGCTCTATAATTTTGGTGTTAAACATTTAAATACTACATAGGCCTCGTTCGCTTCGTGGATTCGAGTCTTCAATTCAAACTGATATGTGACTTTTTCTGAAAATTTTTAACTGTAGCAGAAAAAATTAAATGTGACATTTTCTAAGAGCTTTTAACTGTAGAAACCTAAAACTAAAAGTTAAATGTTTATCAACCTTTTAAAATAGATTAATAAACTAACATGAAATGAACGAGGCCCTAATAAATATCCCAAATCCCATTTATCATCCCATCTTAACATACCACATAATATTGTACAATATTAATCCGCTATATTCCTACATTTTTGTCATCTTTCTTGATGTTGGAGTCAAAGAAATTAAAAAACATAATTTTTTCATAAAAAAAAAAAAATCCACACTGATGATGCAACTTATACATCATATTCCATTCGGTCGATTTCCTTGCCAACTGGAACTTGAAATCATGACAATGAAAGAAAGAATAAGCTCATCATCTAGAAGTCATTTTCACTTATAAATCTACATCTCTTGATCAACAAGCAAAAATTTACTTGAAGCAAAACTCTAATCTCTCTCTCTCTCTCTCTCTAAAACAAACACAAAAGTCCAAAGTGACAAAATGGGAGAGAATCAAGAAAGGGGAGTTGATGATAAGAGTGTTTACTGTGATTGATAAGCTCAATCTCACTTTGGAGGAGACAAGGAAACAAGGTTCCTTTTTTTTTTTTTTTTTTTTTTTTTTTTTTTTTTTTTTTTTTTTACTTTCAACATATTTTTATTTATTCCAAAGGGTTAGATCGAATCACTTGCATGATAACGTAAGTGGGGATTATAATTTAAAAGATATTCTAAAGCAAGACGAAATATAATAATAGGTCAGCTTCATGAGGGGGATGTTCACGGCTTTAAAAAATTCTCGTTTTCCAATATTAAATTAGCTAATCATTCCTATATTCATTTATTAATTTCATTGTTCTTCTAGAAAATGAATATTTTTTATGATCTTATGCGATCCATATCTTTGTACCACTCAAATATATATATATATATATATATGCATATATAAACTTCCCTCTTTTCTATGGTTAAGCATGCGCATAAAGTGATCATGGATCAAAATGAGTAAACTTAAATAATAAATTCCATAATCCACGAGGAAGGAATTTGAAACACATATAACATATATATCCATGCAATTATCAACTAGTGCTGAAGTTTTTTTCAACTGCTTTGCAGTGTTTTCTCTTTATTTAATAATTAATAACACATTTTTCATCTAAGAAATGGATTGCGGTAGTTGAATTTTCAGTCAGCACGGTTTAAAAGAAATAATAAACTTTTGCTTAAAGCTGGATTAAACCCATTAGAATAATCAATAATGGGTCAATCAATTAATTTTCGTAACATGGTTTTATTTACATCAACAATTTGAATTCGTAAGCTTACTGCTACATGGCACAACAAGAAATGCAAAAAAATATACGTTTGGTTCATGGATTAGAATCATGATATTATAACTATTTTTTATTTACGCGTATTTTTTATGAGAGAAAATACTGTAACGAACCATAAACCATGATTTAAATAATGGTTTAAATCCTCCAACTAAACATCTCCAAAAAATGCACAAAAATATAAAAAAAAAAAATGAGTTTTCTACGGTAAGAGACCTAGTAAATATAATACATATTTCGAAACGTCAATATAGTGAAAGTCGAATAAGAATAAAAAAGTAAAGTATAAAACTGACAATATTTGATACTATCGACAGAACATTTGTTGAATTCTCCTCAAAGCAAACTGACATTCTGTAGCAAAGTGTTTAATAGGGTTTGTTAAAGTTTTGAAAGTAAATGGAACCAAGTAGTATAATTGTTTCCAAAGTTTTGAAGTCAAGTTCAAAAACTTGGGATTGGACTACTTTAGAATAAAAAATATATAAGAAATTTACATAGTTTGGAAATTGGAGTTGGGATAGATCGGCAAAAAAGTTTGGAGTTTGGATAAGGTGAAAAAACATCTAAAAAAAAACACATTAACGCGTGGCTTAAAACAGTCATCTTCCATTAGCGACAAGTACTAGCACATGACCAGTATTCCATTCATTTTGGTCTCTCCAAACGTGCAGGAAATAATAATTAACCTTCAATGAATATAAAAAAGTTAGGGAATTGAGTAATAAGGGAAAAAGATTTGGGTGTAAGATAATAAATATCATGTCACGAATGAAACAAATTATTTATAATTAAATTTTAAAGAGTAGATCTAGATACTGAAAGTAGGGTTTGAAGATAGATCGTCAAAGTGGAAAGGACAAAAAAGAGGGAGGTGCATGTTAGCTGAAGTGGAAAGGCAGCACTTTCCTACGTCATCTTTTGTTTATTTAACCTTCGCCGTAAAGTTTCTCTATTCTCTCACTTCTTCAACTCTCTCTCTCTCTCTCTCCTCTCTCTCTCTCTCTCTCTCTCTCGTTTATACTCGACAGTCTTATTAATAGGGCTACTTTAGGACGATTAAATTTAGTTAAAAGAAAATATATAAAATAGATAGTTTTAATATAAATTTAGCAGTAAAAATTATTAATAGTTTATTTTTTCTCATTTTATCAGAGAACTTTTAATATATATATATATATATAATAGACATGATAACAGTTTGATATAATTCTAAAATTATATATAAAATTATTTTTTCACCTATTTGCATTTCTCAACCGTTTGGATCACTGTCCCCACTCCTACCCACCCCAGGGTGCATGGTAGATTGGATGGATCCCATCTATTTCTTTTCTTGTTTTTATATATATGTATGTGTATATATATATATATATGTACATATATAACATTAACATATGCTTTCACCTGAAAATACGATTATGCCCCTCATGCAACATACCAGCCCTACCAGCTCTACCGTGGGTTTGTAAAATCTTTTCACGATGAAAGTTGGTGTTAATTATGTTCTAATCATGTTTTTAAGGTACTTTATATGATTCCAACTAGGATTTGCTGGTTTTTTGTAATGCTAATGCTGGAGTCAATCTGTATAAGTTGCTAGTTTTATTTTGACTAGACAAGAAGGAATTTAGTCTATATATTTTCTTCCTTTTATCTTTCCATGTAATAAACGCTGGTGATAAAACTAGTCTACTAAGTGCTAACTCATTTTAAAAGCAAAAGGGAGAAGAAGAAGAAGAAAAAAAAAAAAGAAAGAACGTGAAAATTACTCTAGAAAACCATGATAATTGCTATAAACTTGAAAAAAGAAAAATGTTAAAGAAGTCAACTCTCAGTAGCAATTTTGTGGTCAAAATTATTTGTCTAAACTTGACCATAAAATTCTCATTAAAGAAGGGACAAAACCTTGCAATAGGAACAGACTTTCTGTAGGAGAAAAAAAAAAGTCTTAATTCATTCTTATGAAGAAAATAGCTATAATTGTTATTGTACCCAAATAACGTTGTAAAGCCCTTAGACAAAAGCTTATATGTAACCATACCATGTCACATTCCTCTAGTGTAATCGAGGGTATTTTGGTCATTATATAAAGACCCATGATTTTATTTGTTATTTTTTTTAATTTTTTAAGGTATTTTCTCTAATAATCCTTCCTACTTGTAATACTAATTTTTAATTATTGAATCTATTTAAAATCATATCATATTAAAAATATATAATTTTTTATATAAATATAATTAAAAAATAAAAAATTACTGATAATTTTTTTTTTTTTTTTTTGGGTGTTAGTAGCGAAACTCCCGTCTTTTTAAGGACCAAAGATGGTTACTATTACTAGTCCTAGACGTCTGAGTGGCTGTATAAGTAGTTTGGAGAAAACCAGAGGGGGTTTTACTAATCTCACTCACTATTTTTTTTAATAGTGGAGACTAAACACAGAGCGCGTTTTTATCTTCAGCTCTTCTCTCTGTTCTGTTCTGTTCTGTCCGTATTGCGACACACCCTGGTCTTTACAGGAATTCAAAGCTTCGAGATTCCCAACTCAGGTATTTCTGTCAAACCAATCAGTTTAGCTCCAAAACTTCAACCTTCTACTTATTCCCCAAATACCCAATTTCCTTATTCTCTCTATCTCTGGCTCTTTCGAAATTCTCTGGCCTTTTTTTTTTCACTGAAATTTGCGGTTCGGCAATACCCGAAAGATTGAGCATCTGGGTTTGTGTTTTTGTTGCGTGATTCGGTGTTACTGATAATGGGTTGCTGAAGAATTCTTTCTGGTGTTTTGGGTTTGTCTTCTTTTTCCCCTGTTTTTTTTGTCCGTCCTGTTTTTCATGATGTTTTTCTTCAGTTCATTGAATGTTTATGCTAGTAATTGTGATTGCTTTTTTTTTTTTCCGTATTTCCAGACGGTTCAGTGGGTAAGAATTTCTCACAAGTTCGTGTCTGTAAGCTAGGATTGGCATGTTTTGTAGCAATATTATTGGTTTTAAAACTAATGACTATATATGTTTATGTTATAGACTTCTTCTATGTACTATATATAAATACAGAGAACTCTCAACACATGTGTCAGCTTATTATCGTTGGAATGTTTGGGATTTCAGTTCAGTATTTGCATAGAAAATTCCGTTTTGCTATTCATTTAACTGGAAGGTTCGGAATTTTAGGTTGTGGTACAAGATGTTTCCAGATTTTTGCAGTGACCACAGTTCTTTTGTTGTGTTCATTAGCAGTTTTTTGTTGATTTTAACTTCTTGTTTTTTTTTTTCAGTTTAATAATTTCTGGGTAAAAAAAAAAAAAAAAAAAAAAAGTTTTTGTATTTGGTGTGTGTGTAATTTTTAACTGACTGAAAAATTCAATGGCCGAATCTTCTGTTTCTACTGCATAAAGGGTCTGAACACTGAAACTTTTCTTAGTTTTTCAAGGACACATAATGCACATCTCTCTCCAATTTATGTGATGTGATTGTAATGTTTCTGCGCACTTTTTTTTTTCTGCAGATTATGCTGAATCCATAGTACACTCTATATTTCTGCAAAGAACAACTGGAAATTTCACCCAAAGGATCAAACTGATGGCTTATGCTGTTGTCATACAGATTATCTGACATTTATCCAACATTTTCCGTACCAGTTGTACTAGCATTATATAACACCTAAGAAGCCAACTTTTGGCAAAAGAATCCAAAAACAGCCCTTGAACAAGGGTAAACTACTCAGATTTCTGTAGCCTTTTTTATTATTTTTTATACAAATGTCACAGAAGCGCAGAGCTTCAAGTATGTCGAACGAGTTATATTATCGGCCAATCCAAGAAGCGGAAGCTTACTGCCTGCCTCAGTTCCGATCTTTAGATCAGGAACTTTGCTACAACGATAGCAGCCAAGGCGCTTATTTCTCGGTGAAGAACTCACTTCAGCAGTACTGCACTTTGGAATCATCCTTGGCGGACGGCAATTATGCTATCTACAACTCGCCATCAACCGTCAGTTTCTCACCTAATGGAAGCCCAATGTCGCAGCAAGATTCTCATTCCTACCTACCTGATCAGCACCACTCGCCCGATAACGCCTATGGCTCTCCTATCAGTGGCTCTTGCATAACTGATGAGATGACTGACTTGAAGTACAAGCTGAAAGAAATAGAAAGCGTGATGCTGGGTCCTGATTTGAGTCTTCTCAACAACTATGACGGTGCGATTCTGAGCGGGAGTAGCAATAACATCTCACATGAGAGTGAGAGCTGGGGACAGATTATGGAATCAATCTCAAAAAGGGATGTGAAACAAGTCCTGATCTCGTGTGCGAAAGCGGTGTCGGATAACGATCTATTAATGGCGCAATGGTTGATGGATGAATTGCGCCGGATTGTGTCAGTCTCGGGTGAACCAATCCAAAGGCTAGGAGCATACATGTTGGAAGGACTTGTTGCGAAACTTGCCTCTTCAGGGAGCAATATCTACAAAGCGCTGAAATGCAAAGAGCCTGCAAGCTCTGAAATGCTGTCTTACATGCATATCCTCTATGAACTTTGCCCCTATTTCAAATTCGGATACATGTCGGCAAATGGGGCCATTGCAGAAGCCATGAAAGATGAAAATCGAGTTCACATAATCGATTTCCAAATCGCTCAAGGGAGTCAGTGGATCACTCTAATCCAGGCCTTTGCAGCCAGGCCTGGAGGACCTCCCCACATCAGAATAACAGGCATCGATGACACCATGTCAGCTTATGCTCGAGGAGGAGGACTAGAGATTGTTGGAAGGAAGCTATCCAAGCTTGCTGAGACATTCAAGGTGCCATTTGAGTTCCATGCTGCAGACATGTCAGGCTCTGAGGTTCAGCTTGAAGATCTCAGGATTCAACCCGGAGAGGCCTTGGCTGTGAACTTCGCGTTCGTGCTTCATCACATGGCTGATGAGAGTGTCAGCACTCAAAATCACCGGGACAGGCTGCTGAGGCTAGTCAAGAGCCTATCTCCGAAATGTGTGACTCTTGTAGAGCAAGAATCGAACACGAATACTGCAGCATTCTTTCCCCGGTTCCTGGAGACGCTGAACTACTACACAGCCATGTTCGAATCCATCGATGTGACTCTTCCTCGGGGTCACAAGGAGAGAATCAATGTTGAGCAGCACTGCTTGGCCAGAGAAGTGGTGAATATAATAGCGTGTGAGGCGGCTGAAAGAGTGGAAAGACATGAGCTTCTTGGGAAATGGAAATTGAGGCTTAAAATGGCTGGATTCAGTCCATACCCTTTAAGCTCATTGGTGAATGCCACCATTAAAACACTGCTAGAGAACTACTGCAACAAGTATAAGCTTGAAGAGAGAGATGGGGCTCTATATCTTGGTTGGATGAACAGATTTTTGGTTACTTCTTCTGCATGGAAGTGAAAAAGCTGCGCAGAAATTGAACATGTAGTTTTTTATTTTTATTTTTTTTTTCGCTTTTTCTTTACTGTTATTTTGTTTTGTTATTGGTTAACTTCATATGAGAAGGGTGTCATTAGCCGAGTACTTTTCTCATGTTGAAGTTAGCCATTTTGTTTGGGGACTCCTATGTTTTACTGATGGAGTGGAAAAACTGGTATTTCTTGGGGTGATAATTGCAGGCTTTTGTATATGGAAATCTGAGCAAGGGAACACCAAATTTCTCTTTTTTTTCCCCCCTTTCGCTTTTTATGAAGAGATTTAAAGCAATAAAATGATAGAATATGGTTCTTGAATATCAATATGCCTTGTGTCTGGTCAAAATATGCAAAGCAGAAATTCCATTCTTTCACATGTTGTTCTCTGAGAAGACTGGTGAATCTATGGATATAAAATTTCCATGACATGAAATATAACTTCATTACTCGCACATTGCCTAATAAAATTTTACAGAAAAATTCATATCATGTGCGGCTGCCTGGGTCACTTTCGGTATGTTATCAAAGGCAGCTGCCTGGGACACTTTCGGTAGGCGGCTGCCTCGGTCACTTTCGGTATGTTATCAAAGCCGGCTTCCTCGGTCACTTTTCGTATGTTACCAAAGCCGGCTGCCTCGGTCACATTTAGTACGTTATCAAAGCCGGTTGCCTGGGTCACTTTTAGTACCTTACCAAAGGCGGCTGCCTGGGTCACTCTTGGTACGTTACCAAAGGCAGCCAAAGGCGGCTGCCTGGTCACTTTTGGTACATTACCAAAGGCGGCTGCCTGGGTCACTTTTCGTACGTTACCACAGGCGGCTGCTTGGATCACTTTTCGTACGTTACCAAAGATGGTTGCCTGGGTCACTTTTCGTACGTTACCAAAGGCGGCTGCCTGGGTCACTTTTGGTGCGTTACCAAAGGCGGCTGCCTGGGTCACTTTTGGTGCGTTATCCAAGGCGGCTGCCCGGGTCACTTTTAGTACGTTATCAAAGGTGGCGCATGGGTCACTTTTGGTACTTTATCAAAGGCGGCTGCCTGAGTCACTTTTGGTACGTTACCAAAGGCGGCAACCTGGGTCACTTTTGGTACGTTATCCAAGGCGGCTGCCCGGGTCACTTTTGGTATGTTATCAAAGGCGGCTGGTTGGGTCACTTTTAGTATGTTATAAAAGGCGGCTACCTGGGTCACTCTTACTATGTTATCAAAAGCGACTGCTTGGGTTGCTTTTAGTACGTTATCAAAGGCGGCTGCCTGGGTCGCTTTTAGTACATTATCAAGGCGGCTGCCTGGGTCGCGATTAGTACGTCGCTTTTAGTACGTTATCAAAGACGGCTGCCTGGGTCGCTTTTAGTACGTTATCAAAGGGTGCTGCCTTGGTCGCTTTTAGTAAGTTACCAAAGGCGGCGGCCCGGGTCACTTTTAGTACGTTACCAAAGGCGGCTGCCAGGGTCACTTTTAGTACGTTACTAAAGGCGGCTGCCAAGGTCACTTTTAGTACGTTATCAAAGGCGGCTGCCTGAGTCACTTTTAGTACGTCATCAAAGGCGGCTGCCAGGGTCCCTTTTTGTACGTTATCAAAGGCGGCTGCATGTGTCACTTTTAGTACGTTATTAAAGATGGCTGCCTCGGTCACTTTTAGTACATTATCAAAGGCGGCTGCTTCGGTCACTTTTAGTATGTTATCAAAGGAGGGGCTAGGGGCC